CAAGGGGATCCCTATGGATCCCTACAGGGATCCTAGAGGATCCCTGTGGATCCCTACAGGGATCCTGGAGGATCCCTGTGGACCCCTACAGGGATCCTACGGAGGATCCCAATGGATCCCTACAAGCATCCTAGAGGATCCCTGTGGACCCCTACAGGGATCCCAGAGGATCCCTATGGATCCTTACAAGGATACGAGAGGATCCTTATGGATCCCTGCATCCTAGAGGATCCCCATGGATCCCTGCAGGGATACGAGAGGATCCCTATCGATCCCTACACGGGCCATATAGGATGCCTATGGGTCCCTACAACGGGCCTAGAGGATCCCGATGGATTCCTATAGGGATCCTAGGGCATCCCTATGGATAGGATCCCTGTGGATCCCCACAAGGACTCTATGGGATCCCTGTGGGTCCGTACGCGGACCGTATAGGATCCCTGTCGACACCTACAGGGACCCTATGGGATCCGTGTGGATCCCTACAGAGACCATGTGGGATCCCTGTGGGCCCATACAGGGACCCTATGGGATCTCTGGATCCCTACAGGGATCTTGTGTGATCGCTGTAGATCCCTATAAGGACCCTATGGGATCCCTGGGGCCCCCTACAAGGTCCCCATGGGGTCCCTCTAAATCCCTACAGGGGCCCTATGTGATCCCTGTGGGCCCCTTTCAGGGACATTATGGGATCGCTGTGGATCCCTATAAGGACCCTATAGGGATCCCTCTGGATCTCTACAGGGACCCAATAGGATGCCTCTAGACCTCTACAGGGACCCTATGGGATAGCTTTTTGTAAATAGAGGGGCCCTAACCGTATGAGGGGTGCGCCGAAATGGGCCCGAAACCTTCGGCTGAGCCCCCTGTGGGGCCACGAACCGTGTGAGGGGTGCGCCGAAATGGGTCCGAAGCCTTCGGGTGCGCCACATGTTGGGCCGCGAAAGCCTTCGGCTGCGCACCTTGTAGGGCCACGAACCGTGTGAGGGGTGCGCCGAAATGGTCCCGAAGCCTTCGGCTGCGCCCCCTGTAGGGCCACGAGCCGCGTGAGGGGTGCGCCGAAATAGCCCGATGGAACCCTGTAGGGGTTCTATGGGGCTCCGATGGAACCCTGTGGGGGTCGAATGGGAGCCCGATGGAACTCTGTAGGGGTTTTATGGGCGTCCTATGGAACCCTGTAAGGGTCGTGTGGGAATCCTATGGAACCCTGTACGGATCCCACAGGATCCTCCTGTAGGGGTGCGTTGTGTTGTGTTGTGTTGTTCCCCCCCCCCTCCCCCCTCTCCCCCCCCCGGGGGGGCTTGCCCCGCCTGTATCAACAACAACAACAACAACAACAACAACAACAACAACACCGACGACGACAACAACAACAACAATAACAGCAACGACAACGACAACGACAACGACAACAACAACAATATCAACAAGCATTTTAAGAATGTTCGCTCTTATCTGATCGCGTGTCATGCAATATTCACATCCCAACCCTGGATACCCGCCCTCTTCGTCTCCGATCGTAACCCCCTTTTGGGGGGGGAATATTCATTTCTTGCCACGTGTGGTTGGTGAAGCCCTTGAAAACGAAGGGTAACAGATAACGGGGGAGAACGAAGACGAAGGGATCGGAGGAAGGGGGGGAAGGGCAAAAAGGAGGGAGGACGATGATCTGCGCTGCGAGTGGCGATTCAGTTTGCGCCATGGCTTGCGCCAGCCACTCCAACACAGGTTAACAATGAGTTTCGCCATGGGTCGCGCCATAAACAGCACCACGGAACCACCCCATTGAAAGAACATATCGTGGACACCCCCACGGGGGGACGTACACCTGCGAACTGGTGTCAGAAACAAATTTCGTGGAACCCTGAAAAGGGAGAGCGGGGCAGAAGGACGTTGAGAACTGCAAAGGTGTCGACAGGAACGCGGAAGCCCCAAGTGAGAGCGCGATTCTTCAATAAATTGTAATGAAGTATCAAGCGGGAGCCGCGATCCGGTGGCAAATTGCAAGGAAGTCCCAAGCGAGAGCGCGATTCTTCAATAAATTGTGAAGAAGTATCAGGCGGGAGCCGTTGAATTCGCACTTCTGAAAAATAATTATTGTTGATCCCCCCCCCCCCACCGGTGCTTACTGTTTTTCTTAATCAAAGTGTGCCCCTCGACGCTCGCATCCTTTTTTTTGTCAGGGAAAGTCTTCCTGCTCAAACTGGCCCCCTGGCCCCCGGGTTACAACAACAACGGCTCCCGCCTGATACTTCCTTACAATTTAGCCAGGACCCCCGCTCCCGCCCGAGACTTTCTCGCATTTTATTCAGGAGTCGCGCTTTCGCTTGGGACTTCCTTCCAATTCATTCAAGAATCGCTCTCCCGGCGCTCCGGAGTCACGCTCTCGCTGGAGACTTGCTTGCAACTTACTGAAGAATGGCCTTGCGTCGGGATTTCCTGCAATTTGCCCGAGCGCCGCGCTCCCGACACCCAGGCACCCAGGAGTCGCGCCCGTTGTGGCCTCATGTGCATGCCCTTCGTGGCCCCGCTGTCGCCATTTGTGTCCCCCATCACTGTCCTACGTGGCCCAGTTGCTACCCCCAGTGGCCCCATAGTTGCCGTCTGTGGCCCCGCATTATCTGCTCTTCGTGGCCCCCTGTCGTTCGCGCTCTTCGTGGGCCCATACGCATTCCCTTCGTGTCCCCGCTGTCGCCCATCGTGCCCTACTTCGTGTCCTTGTGGCCCTGCTGTCGTTCTCTCTCGCTCTCGCTTTCGCTCGTCGTCGCCGTCGTCGTCGTCGTCGTCGCCGTCGTCTTCGACGTCGTCGTCGTCGTCGTCGTCATTGTCGTGGTTGGTCCCCTGTCCGTCCCTCTTTGGGGTTGGGTCTACGGTCCGCGGCCGCCCCGCCGACGCTGCCGCTGGCCAGGCCGACGGTCCGCGACCGCCCCGCCGCTTGCCGGGCCCGGCCTGCAGGGAAGAAAGGTATACCCCCCAAAAGGGGTTCGATCGAAGACGAAGAGGGCGGGTATCGAGGGTTTGGGAAATACGCGTTATTGGACACTCGAGCACATAAGGGCGAACAGTCTTAAAATGATTGTTGCTGTTGTTGTAAACCGGGGGCCAACGACACACTTTGACCCTCAAGACTTTCCCTGATAAGAAAGAGGGTGTGAGCCCCGGGAATGGCACTGCAATTGAAAAAAACATGTGCACCGGACGGGGGGGATCAACCATACTTATTCTTCAGAAATGAGAATTTAACAACAACAACCACAACGACAACCACAACAACAACAATGACAACAACAACAACAACAACAACAACAACAACAACAACAACAACGACGACAACAACAACAACAACAACAACAGCAACCACAACAGCGACAACAACGACAACAACAACGACAACAACAACAACAATAACAGTCATGTTCAGACGGCTCGCTTTTACTGGCACGCGCGTCTTGCATTCTGTATACCCAACCGTTGATACCCGCCCACTTCGTCGTCAATCGCACCCCCTTTCGGCAGGAATATCTTCCTTGTCGGCCACTGAGTGAAGTGCAAGGCACTCTCAAGCAAGAGCGCCCTTCCCCGTGGCACCCCTGACAGTGGATGGCTCAGCACCTGGTGAGTCGTCCCAGCTTTCCCGCAGCTGCTCTCCTTGAGCCGACACACAGGAACTTAAGTTCCAGATAATACGCGTTAAGAATTTGCGATGTGTGGCAACAGTCGCGCGGATTGAGGACTCAGGGGCGGGGACCCCTGAAAAGGGGGGTCGAAGGTAAAGGCTCGAGGTCTCTTTCCTCCCAAGCGAAACACACACACACACACACTCCGGCAAGCCTCGCAGATCTCACACATCAGCTGGCACTGCGACTGAAACTGCGCTGCCGTCAAGATCGAGGGGCGGAGCTGGAGCGAGGATGAAGAACGACGAGGACGAGGAGGAGGCGGATGCCTTGGACGATCGAAGATCGATACCTCGATCCTCGGTCAGCAAAGTTAGGGGACCGAGATGTGTGGACGCCTTGTGCCCTTTCTGTTGGCCTCTATTGGCCTCCGAGGGCCTCCGAGAGCCCGGAGGGGAGGAGCACGAGAAGCAGCAAAAGGGAGAAAGAGGAGTCGGAGGAGGAGGAAGAAGAGGAGGGATGAGGGAGGAGGGAGGAGCCGGAGGAGGCAGAGGCGGATGCGGATGAAGACGAGACATGAGAAGAAAGGAGACGGGTGGAGAAAAGAAAGACGCAATGAGGGGCGGCTGCGCCACATAATATGATTAACGAGCGGGTGCGAAGAAAGCGAGAGAAGGAAGCCGGCGAAAATGAGGTGTTCGAAACGGCAGCGAACAAATACCAATCCGCGCTAGCGAAAACGACGCCCCCACCCCAACCCTCCCCCCAACCAGAGAACCTCCAGATCACTGGCAAGAGTGCTCAACCCATTCATCCCTCCCTACTCCACCTCCACATCTTCCTCCTATTGCCGCTGCTGCTTATTCTCCTCCTTCTCCTCCGTATCCTTGTCATCCTCCTGCTCCTTCTTCATTCTCCTCCTCCCTCCCCTCCTCCTCCTCCTCCTCCTCCTCCTCCTCCTCTCCTTCTCCTCGTCCTCCTCCTCCTCCTCTTCCTCCTCCTCCTCCTCCCTCCTCCTCCTCCTCCTCCTCCTCCTCCTCCCTCCTCCCTCCTCCCACCTCCACATCCTCCTCCTCCCCTCTCCTCGCTCCTCCTCCTCCTCTTCCTCTCCCTGCCTCCTCCCTGAACCCCTCTAGAAAGAAATATCATAAGATAAAAAAATAAGAGAGGAATAGAAAAAGAAAAAGAAAAAGTAGATATAGGAAAGAAGGAAAAAGTAGATCTAAATCTAAAGACAAGAAGTATAACCAACTAAAAAAACAAAAACAAAGTAACTATTAAAATGCAAAAAGCCATCCCTCCTCCGCCTCGTCCTCATCCTCCCCCACCTCCCCCTCCTCCCTCTTCCTTCTCCTCCTGCCGGACAGCGCCAGGCTTTGAGTCCTCGTCTTTCTGAGCTGGTCCTTGAGCTCGCGGATCTTCAGCTTGGCCGTCAGCGAGTGCTGCTCGGAGGTTTCCAGGTTGATCGCCACGCGCCTCCCCTCCTCCTCATCATCTGCCTCCATGATCAAACTCGTCATCCTCCTCCTCCTTCTCCTCCTCACCCTCATCCTCATCCTCCAACTGACCATTCCTCCAAACCATCCTATCCTCATGTCCCATAGCATGATCCTCCTCGTCACCCTCAATATCACATGATAGCCATCACCATCACCATCACCACAAAAACCATCACCGTCATCGTCCATATTATTATTCATCATCAGCATCATCATCCTCATCAGCATAATCATGATCATCAGCATCATCACCAGCATCATCACCACTATCATCAGCATCATCATCATCATCAGCAGCATCATCATCAGCTTCATCATCATAGTCATCATCATCAGCAGCAGCATCATCATCATCAGCATCGTCATCGTCATCGCCGTCAGCGTCAACGTCGTCAGCAGCAGCAACGTCATCATCATCATCGTCCTTGTCATCAGAACAGCATCATCAGCAGCAGCTGTAGCAACAGAATCGTCATCGTCATCATCAGCATCGACATCATAATCAGCAGCAGCATCATATAATCAGCATCATCATCGTCAGCAGCATCATCATTGTCAGCATGTCCTCATCCGCATCCTCATCGGTATCATCACCATCAGCATCATCATGTCGTCGTCATCGTTACCACTTCCACCACAACCATTATCGACGACGTCTTCCTCCTCCTCCTCCTCCTCCTCCCAGCCTCCTTCTCCTCCTCCTCCTCCTCCTCCTCCTCCTCCTCCTCCTCCTCTTTCTCGTCCTCCTCCTCCCAGCCTCCTCTTCCTCCTCCTCCTCCTCCTCCTCCTCCTCCTCCTCCTCCATTCCTCTTCCTTGTAGATAACTTCTCCGTGTCGCACCCCGAGGCTGGTCGAAAGGACGGGCCGGGCGTTTCGCCCGACTTCCTCGCAATGTACGAGCATGAAGCTGAAACTTTGGGACAGTTTCACGGACGGAGTGCGGGTCGTTTTCAAAGTGGGACTCTCGCCGCAGCACCGCGCACATCCGTCTAAAAACTGCAAGAGCTTCACGGATGGAGGGCGGGCCGTTCTCAAAATGTGGTTTTCGCCGTAGCACCGCGCGAATCCGTCTTAAAAACTGCAAGGGCTTCACGGATGGAGGGCGGGCCGTTTTCAAAATGTGGCTCTCGCCTTAGCGCCGCACACATTTGCATTAAATAATTGCACGAGTGTCACGATGGAGGGCGATTCCTTTTCAAAATGTGGATCTTGCCTTAGCGCCGCGGTCATTCGTCGTTCAGAAAATGCCGGAGTTTCACTGGTTGAGGGCGGGCCGTTTTCACAATGTGGTTCTCGCCCTGGTACCGCGCACATTCGTCACCAAAAGTTGCAAGGGTGTCACGGATTGAGAGCGGTTCCTTTTTCAAAATGCGGCTCTCGCCTGAGTGGCGCGAATACTCGATTTAAACATTTGCAAGGGCTTCGCGGATTCACATGGTTAACGTACCAGACATTGAGCTTTGGAACGGTTTAGGACTGTCAGGGCGCATCGGTTACGTTCATTCGCGGTGTTGAAGTCCAAGGGACGCTGTCCTGGCACGACTCGGGATGGTCAAGACACAAAAGTCAGGTTGATTCGTGGCAACGCGGCGTTGGAGTTCCGAGAATGGTGCGTTGGCAGGCGTCCGTAACTTCAAACGGTTGGCTCCCAACCTCCCAACGTCACAATTCCCTGAGTGGACATGAAACCTTGCAGGAGCCTGTTAAGAGGGAGCTTGAAGGGAGGGTTATTCCCTCATCGATGGTGAGTGTGCGGTTTATCTGGTCCTCCTCCTCCTCCTCCTCCTCCTCCTCATCATCATCATCATCATCATCATCATCATCATCATCATCATCATCATCATCATCATCATCATCATCATCAGCATCATCATCATAATCCTCCTGATCTCTCCTCACTCCTCCCTCCGCCTCCTCCTCCTCCTCCTCCCCTCCTCCCTCCTCCTCCTGCTCCTACTCCTAACTCCTACTCCTACTCCTCCTTTCCTCCTCCTCCTCCTCCACCTCCTCCTCCGCATCCCCCCCACCGGCACTTCCCCCCCTCGTCCCCCCCCCCGCACTGCCGCTCCCCCTCCCCTCCTCCTCCTCCTCCTCCTCCTCCTCCGCCTCCTCCTCTTCCTCCTCATCCTCCTCCTCTTCCTCCTCCTCTTCTTCCTCTCTCCACATTCGCATCCCACTCCCCCCCCCCTGCTCCCCTTCGTCGGCCTGCTCCTCCTCCTCCCTCGCCACCCTCCCCCTCCCCATCTTCCTCCTCCTCCTCCTCTTCCTCTTCCTCTTCCTCCTCCTCCTCCTCCTCCTCGTCCTCCTCCTCCTCCTCCTCATCCTCATCCCCCTCTTCCTGAAGTAGCGGCAGGGAAGTTTGCAAAAATGGCTGCGATTGCGCCCATGATCTTTGAATAACGTATGCCTTCTTGGAGGGTGGCGACTTGCTGCATCGCTGGAGTGCGTGAGGTCGGCGTGACGCCTTGACGTGATGCGGTGCCGTGCCGTGGTGCGGTGTCCTTGTGTGCCGTGCCGTGTCGTGGTGTCGTGCCGTCGTGCGCGTGCCGGCTTTGCGCTGGCCCGGCGGTTCCGCCTGGCTGGGGCGGGGCACACATACCAGCCAGGCACCCTGGCCAGGGTAGTGCCGAGCTTCGTTTGGCGGCCGACGAGATCGGTCCCCCGCCCGCCCGCCCTGGGGTGCGGTTGTTGGGGGGCGTGAGCTGTTTGGGCGGCGTGTTCGGGAGGTTGTCGTCCCCACAGGGCCCGCCCAGCAGGGCCATACAATCTTGTGCCAACAGGAGGCGTGCAGTCATGCCCCAGAGCCACGGGGGTCAATCCTCCTCCCACTCCCCCTCCCCCTCCCCTCCTCCTCCTCCTCCTCCTCCTCCTCCTCCTCCTCCTCCTCCTCCTCCGCCTCCTCCGCCGCCTCCCGCTTCCTCCTCCTCTCCTCCTCCTCCTCCTCGCTCCTCACTCATCCCTCCTCCTCTCCTCCGCCTCCCGCCTCCGCCGCCGCCTCCGCCTCCGCCCTCCTCCTCCTCCTCCTCTCCTCCTCCTCCTCCTCCTCCTCCTCCACCTCCTCTCTCCTCGCTCCTCCTCCTCCTCCCCTCCTCCTCCTCCCCTTCCTCCTTCCTCCTCTCCTCCTCCCCTCCTCCTCCTCCTCCTCCTCCTCCTCCTCCTCCTCCTCCCTCCGCCCTCCTCCCCCTCCGCCTACTCCTCCTCCTCCTCCTCCTCCCTCCTCCTCCTCCTCCTCCTCCTCCTATTCCTCCCACGTCTCCTCCCAATACATCCCCACCCTCACACCGCGGCCCTCCCCACTTACCCACAGTTAGAGGAACAAGAAACGGCATCTAGACAAACGTTCGGAGGCCCGCGCGGATATGTCGCGGATCGGCGCTGTGCACCCCCCCCCCCCACCCTGGGGGGCGGAGCGCCCAACGCAGATCCAAGACACCTGCGTAATGTTCCGAAAGTGTATGGTTGTGCCGTTCGTTTCGTCGTGGAGCAACCTCCCCTCGTCATCGCTCCCCCCCCCCGCTGCCCCAAGAGCCTCTCGCCGAGCTTGGCCCTGGCAGCGGCGAGCCTCTCCTCGGCAATCTGCGAGGGCGCCCTCGAGGGGGGAGCCGCCGAGAAGGTGGAGCCGTGCCTGGAAGTCGCCGCGATGGAACTCTGCCTGGCGACAGGAGCAGCAGCAGGGACGAAGGGAGATTGGCTCGACGGACGTCTGACGATGACCGCGGGTGGAGGTGGACCAGATGGGAAGAGCAGCAAGAGGACGATGGGACGGTGGGGCGATGGACGATGCAACCGCGATGGAACCCCGCCCGCGATGGGCGATCGACCGACGCCAGCAGCAAGGAAGCGTCTGAAGAGAGCACGGCCAAACAAAGAACAATGCGCGAGTTAAGCAGTGAGTTCTGTGTTAGTTCGAAGTTCGTGATCCCTCGTTCTGTCTTACGGTCCGCCGTTGCTGCAAAACGAAACGAAACGGACACGGTTCACGCAAAATTGCACGAACACCGATTAGTTCGCGCTCTGGCAAAGAATCCAGAGAGAGAGACAGAGAGAGAGAGGGAGAGCGCACATAGAGAAGATAGAGGAGGAGGAGGAGGAGGAGGAGGAGGAGGAGGAGGATGAGGGGAGGAGGAGGAGGGAGGAGGAGGAGGAGGATGAGTCGGAATGGAAGGCGGAGAAGGGAGGAGGGAGGGGAGGAGGAGGAGAGAGAGGAGGAAGGAGGAGGAAGTAGACGGAAGGGAGGTGGTGTGCGAAGGGAGGGGGGCGGAGTAGAGGGAGAATCGTGGAGAGAGGGGAGGAGGGAGGGAGGGAGGGGGGAGCGAGGGAGCGATGGAGGGAGGTAGGTGGGAGGAGTCCTCTGGCTGAGAGGTAAAGGATGAGGATAGAGAACGGAGGAGAAGTGAGAAGGTATGAGGACATGAGAAAAGATGAGAGAATGTGGGGAAGAGTAGGGAGCCTGAGGAGTATGATCAATGATGATGAGAGGAGGGGAGGGGGGCGCGTAGGGGAAGTTCTCGGAGGGAGGAGGACGAGGAAGAGGAGGACGAGAAGCAGGAAGAAGATGCGCGCCGATCGGAGCCCCGCGGCGAGCACTCCGAGGCCGACGAGTGGCGCTGACACACTGGCTAGGGCTGGCGGCCGAGGCCCCGAGCACGGCGCCGCGCGCCCCGATAGAGAGAGACGACTCGAGAGCAGAGGGCCCCCGGCGGGGGCTGCCGCGGACGCCCCTCCTCGAAGAGGAGATGGGCAGCCATCTCTGGGCCTGCAGCCCCCCCCCCCCTCGGAGACGTAGGAGGAGCAGGAGGGAGGAGGAGAAGGA